ACCACCGTTGCCCCCCTGCGGCTCGCCTCGAGTCCACTCAATTTGTGCATCGCGATCGCATCTCTCCATTCGCTTTGTACTATCCAGCACCGCACCGCACAAACTTGATCTTCCAGCGCTCTTCAAATTTGAGATCCCTATAAAATTTCTTCGCAATGGCGCTGCGCGAGTTCAAGGCCCCTGTCAGCTATGAGAAGCAGCAACGTCAGTACATTTCCTGCTGCACTTAGCTCCCCACATAAGCTAATCATCGGTATAGATGCCTTTCAGGAGTTCTTGACGGGATTCAAGACATCACCAGAGCAAACCATCACAACTGCACTAGGCAATATCACCATCGGAGAAGATGACCTCGACGACGAGTATGATTTAATGGAGGAGGATGGGCAAGATGCGAACCGGCAACAAGCCAAGGAGCGCCGTGCTCCTCAGTACAAGTACAAGAGTATGCTGCAGCAACTCTCGGATCGAACGATTGACGAGGCGACGATTGATCTTGACGATTTAGCAACCGTATGATTTGCGATACTCCCTTTTCCACCAAAGTACTAACATGCTTGTAGTGGGAGAACCAAGCGTTCGACGGCGAGGACAGTATGAGACTTGTTGATTCCATCGAGATGAACACAAAACACTACGTCGAAATATTTTCCCGAGCTGTGGATGAGGTCATGCCTCCAATGAGCGCGGATGTGAAGTAAGTACTCAAGTGACCCAAATGTTGATGCACCGCATTGACCAGCGAATAGCTTCAAGGACGATGTTCTCGACGTGTTGATGGCTCGACGACAAATCCGAAACCGAGAACTGGACGAAGCCGCTGAGCGAGACCCTACTGCTGCAGATGACAAGTTCCCTGCCGAGCTCACTCGCAGGTACACCCTCGTGTTCAAGCCCAGGACTGGCACCTCAAGCCAACCCACAAAAGCTCTGGCAGTTCGACAAGTGCGCGGCGAGCACTTGGGTCATCTTATTACCATTCGTGCGATCGCCACTCGAGTTTCTGATGTCAAACCCATCGTTCAAGTCAGCGCCTACACTTGCGACAGATGTGGCTGTGAAATCTTCCAGCCTGTTACTGACAAGCAATATGGCCCCTTAACTATGTGCCCCTCTGAAGACTGCAAGCAGAACCAGGCCAAGGGTCAACTCAACCCTTCTTCGAGAGCCTCAAAGTTCTTGCCTTTCCAGGAGGTCAAGGTCCAGGAGATGGCCGAGCAGGTCCCAATTGGTCAGATTCCTCGAAGTCTTACCGTGCTCTGCCATGGCACTCTCGTCCGCCAAATTAACCCTGGTGATGTTGTCGATATCTCGGGCATCTTCCTCCCCACCCCCTATACAGGTTTCAAGGCGATGAAGGCTGGTCTGCTCACTGATACTTATCTCGAGGCACATCACGTTCTCCAACACAAAAAGGCATACAGTGAGATGATTGTTGACTCCACACTGGTCCGCCGGATTGAAAAATACCGCCAGACTGGCCAAGTATACGAACTGTTGGCGAAGTCGATTGCTCCCGAAATCTTCGGACATCTTGATGTTAAAAAGGCTCTTCTTCTTCTACTTATTGGTGGTGTGACGAAAGAAATGGGAGACGGAATGAAGATTCGTGGCGATATCAACATCTGCTTGATGGGTGATCCTGGTGTGGCCAAGTCTCAGCTCCTCAAGTACATTTCAAAGGTCGCTCCTCGTGGCGTCTACACCTCAGGTCGTGGAAGCAGTGGTGTCGGTCTCACGGCTGCTGTTATGCGTGATCCTGTCACGGATGAAATGGTTCTTGAAGGTGGTGCTCTCGTCCTGGCCGATAACGGAATCTGCTGTATTGATGAGTTCGACAAGATGGACGAGACTGACCGTACAGCCATCCACGAAGTAATGGAACAGCAAACAATTTCCATTTCAAAGGCCGGAATCTCAACAACCCTCAACGCTCGCACCTCTATTCTTGCCGCCGCTAACCCTGTTTATGGACGATATAATCCTCGAATCTCCCCTGTCGAAAACATTAATCTCCCCGCCGCGCTGTTATCCCGTTTCGATATCCTATTCCTGCTTCTTGATACCCCTACGCGCGAAACAGACGAACAGCTTGCCAAGCACGTTGCGTTTGTGCACATGAACAGCCGACATCCCGATATCGGCACTGATAATGTTGTCTTCAGTCCTCATGAAGTGCGATCCTACATCGCCCAAGCAAGGACATACCGACCTGTCGTTCCTGAAACGGTCTCTGAGTACATGATCAAGACATACGTACGCATGCGAGACCAGCAGCAGCGCGCTGAGAAGAAGGGCAAGCAGTTTACCCACACAACGCCTCGTACCCTCTTGGGTGTTGTCCGTCTGGCCCAGGCCTTGGCCCGACTTCGATTCAGCAATGAGGTCACTCAAGACGATGTTGATGAGGCTCTCAGACTAGTCGAGGCTAGCAAAGAAAGTCTGAACAACGATCTTGGCACGGGTCGAGCGAACGCGGATCCCAGCAGCAGAATTTACAATTTCGTTAAGCAACTTGCTGATGCCGGCCAATGCCGTCCTGAGGATGCCGCTGGTGAGGAAGATCTCGGTATTGAGCTGAGCATGACACAATTAAAGGCGCGAGTCATCGCTCGAGGCTTTACTGCCGACCAGTGGTCCAACGCTTTGCAAGAATACACCACCATGGATGTAAGTATTTTTTTTTTTAGGAGACGCTCCTCGTATATGAACAAATCGCTAACCATGGTTCACAGGTCTGGCAAACCACCAGGAATGGTGCAAGACTGGTATTTGTCAACAGCGATCTTGATAACGACCAAGAGGATGACATGGACTTTTGAGAGCTGGGCATGTAACGAAGTGAGATGTTCTATGTAAAGGTCTGGCGTTTTGGCATATGAAGGTAGATGAGAATAGTATGCTGGTAGAGCTCTGTCAATGATGAGAATTGGGCATGAGGTTTCTATCACAACAAACACCAACCAATAAATAACTCAGCTGTAATAACAAGCACAAAGCTTTAATCGTTCGTGTAGCACAGATGGTCTGCAAAGAAGCAGTGCATTTTTCGGGTTTCCAACACCAGTATTGTACATTTCTAGAATACATTTACAGCCTCATTTGCATCAATGCAGCACGCTCCATCTCACCAACATTACCGTGGCCGCCCACGGTCCACTTCTCGGACACTGTTCTTGAATTGAGAACATGTCGGAAAAGCCCGCTGGCGCCCCAGTATTCCATTAAAGAGCGAGCCTCGTCCTTCGTGATACCTTCAAGACGGAGAACCCAGCTGTTCTTGAGCGCCTCGTACACACGCTCGTCATATTTGCGCTCATAGGGGTCAGGCTTGGGGATCTCACGGCCCGCCTGGCCAGCCTCGAGCTGCGAGAGAACAAGCTCTTGTGATGGATGGTGATGGGAGTTGTTCTCTGAGGTGGCGGCGATGACAGCGCCGCCATTAGGGAGAGGAGTCTTGCCAGATAGGGCGTCAATAAAGAGGCGGACAAGGGCCAGTTCATGGGCATGTACCTCGTTGAACGAGGGGTCTCTGTAATCACTGATCTTGTTGATGTGGGCAAGACCGTCAAGAGCAAAGAGCACGGGGGGTCGCCCAGGCAGGGTGAGCTCAGTCCATAGGGCAAGGAGGGTGGGCCATGCGTACTCGGCCTCCTTTGCGCTGAGAGCCAGATCAGCGAGGGTAGCGCCCTCCTTGAGGTTAGTGAACTTGGACCAGTCCTTCTCGATGTTGAGTTTTTCAAGAACGACACGGTTGGCTCTATAGAGGCTCTGTATCATCCTAAGGCAGTAGATGGGTTGGGAGAACTGCATTGGCTCAGTCTCGGGAATGGGTGAGTATTCAGTGTTGCCGTTGGTCAGATCCTGACCTGTTATGGTCAGTCAGAGGCATGAAAACGTGAAGGGGTCGTTTGGGGTTATGTACCTTCGGGAACATGGAATACCACCCAGTTGTTAAGAAGTGCATATGCCATAGCCTGTAGCATGGCCATACTCTTTCCAGACAGCTTACTACCCGTCAACACACACTTAAGAGCCTTCTTTTCCTTGGCCGATAGCTCAAGCTTCTTCATCAACTCCACTGTCTCTTTGCGCTGTAGAACATGAGGTTTTCGGAATAGGTTCCATGTCTGTGTCGTCTTGAAAGCCTCGAGGGCGCGGAGATGATCCACAACCTGATCAGGAATAGCAAACATCTTTCCAGCACTCTCTTCCTTTGTCATGTTACTGGCATCCAGATTTTCAAGGCCTGTGACAGGTAGAGCACTGTTATTGCTGAGCTGGATGCGCTTTCGGAAGGCCTTTCGCTCGCCAGGCTGAGGTTTTCGGACAGGCGTCACATTGGCACGTTTCTTATAGGACTTCTTGACCTTCTGTGGAAGGTCTCGGCGGCTCTTGATTGCCGGGGGAGCTGAGACGGCGAGAGCAGCGGTTGAAGTTGAAAATGGGGCGAGGAGAACCGGTATCATTCGAGGAGCCCTGGGAATAGTCGGCCTCATGAGGCATCGAAGCGAATTGGCGGACGCCATTGCTTGCAACACTGTCCCAAACTGACGGCTGACAGGCTCTTCTTATATATAGATGGCGAGAACGGCGTCTATCGTCGAGTTGACGCCGATTGGGCCGGTTCTAGGACGCTCGTTTAGAGGCCGTCGTGAGCTGAAGTTGAATGCCGCTTCGAAAATCTCGGGTGGATTTAACCACCCACCTCAAAGGTACTGGGGTAAGAGAAGGACTGCGGTCCTGTGATTGGCTTATAGACCCTGTTTCGGAAAAACTGCTGCTCACTGATCCGACATGCCTTATCGGGTACAGAAAAAAGATAGTATAGCATAGAGGACCTCAGAAAAAAAAAGTTCCAGTACCAGTCAGTACCAGTACCATAATAAGAGAGCGCATTGCAACGACAAACCTGTTCATCCTTTGACAAGTTTATGACGATTTCCAAGAGACCTCAACATCAGCCTCTATAATTATTATTTACTCCCACGAATATCGCAATGGCGCTCCCAAGCTCTAAGCCAAAGCTGCCTGTCGCAGTCGAGAAGCCCACGCCCTACACATTCGATCTCGGCCATCTTCTCGCAGAGGACCCAAACCCCGTCACTCTCGACCGCGATAATCTCGAGCAGTCCCTCGCTGAGCTTGCCCGGGACGGCGCCCAGTCTCTCATCAACCAGTTCCTCTCCACCTGCCCTCTCAACTCCACCGCCGAGGGTGTCCTTCTCACCCTTCCCGCCCCGAGCACCCGTCTCCCCCGCGAGAAGCCCGTTCCGCAGGCCAAGCCTCCTACTAAGTGGGAGCGCTTCGCCGCTAAGAAGGGTATTAAGCCCAAGACTCGCGAGCAACGTCGCAACCTTGCCTTCGATGAGCAGACAGGTGAATGGCAGCGCAAGTGGGGGTACAAGGCTCTCAACAAGAATGGCGAGGACTGGCCCATTGTCGAGGTTGATATGGAAGCCGAAAAGAAGCGAAAAGAGGGTACCTCAATCCGTGGCGATGGTCGAAGAGAGCGCAAGGAGAGAATCAAGCGCAACGAGCGAAAGATGCGCAAGAACCAGGCTCAAGGCACAGGAAAATAGGCTGCGACAGCTTTGAAAGGGAACAGGATTGGTCGGCAATTTATTGTCAGCCTTGGTCAAGACTATTGCTGTTGAGCATGGAGCGGCGTTCAGGACATTGGCGTTTCAAATCGGCATGTTAAAAGCTAGGGACTTGGGATGGTTTAGACGTTCGGCTTTGGAAGAAAAGAATGGAAAAGGAAGACGCTGCAGCTGTCAACTTCCTTGTTGTCTGGTCTGCTCCTTGTTGTCTGGTCTGGATTCCATGTCCCGGCTATGCGTAGCAATGAAATACAACTACCAAGGGTTCTCCCCCAACCTGATAGTTGATCTTGATGAAGATTATGCATTTAATAGATAAGCGATTTCTGACGAAGTATATTCACTAAATTCGGGGCACTATCTACTAGGTAGCGTCTGCCAATTTCAACTCTGCTGCCCTACAACCCTCCGCTCTCGGCGATTTCTAGTCATCAGAAACAGATTTACTCCATATTTTGGTAATCTCCATGCTCCTCTCTAGCTTGGCGTGTCTTCATTTCACTGCAACATGATAGCCAAACACAATTCTTACTAAGGCAGCTTGCCTCACCAGAGTGCTCGAGAGCGAGCTACATAATCAGCTTGGGCAAAGACGCGGTATGTTTGTCAATAAATCATCAGAATCAGAAACGCCGGAACTTCAACCAAGATTCCCCACTAACGCAGGGTACAAGACACCCCTGGACCATATTCTCCTCAAAATGCATCATGGGGTATACCAAACAACAGATAAAAGACAAAGTGCAGGTCAAGAACATCACTCGCCTGGTGTCGTGGATAGGTGAGCCAAATTTAAAGCATTCCTTGAATGTTTTACTCGATTGCACATTGCCAAACCGTTCCAAAAATGCTGGACCACTGTCCAGCAACGCCAGGCGTTAGAAGCAACCAAAAATGCGCAATCAAATCGAATGACAAGGTCATAAGGGCGTGCCATCATGAATTGGCTATCGCCGAAGGATGGAGTCGCAGACTGCATCATGGCAGACGCCGTGGTTGAAACTTGAGACATTTACCCTCAGTTGAGGTAGAATCGCAGAGAGGTGCTGAGATAGATTAAGCACTTAGTGCATTCTCATCTCGGCCTCAAGGCCTCTATTTCTTCGAGGTATGGTCTTTCTGCCTCGGCTATCCTTTTAACCACCTCCACGGGTAGCCGGGCGTGAATATGCTTGTGGAATGCAGCGTGTCGTCAGGATGTCCCTGATTTTAGAAGCCGAGGGGAGATAGAGGCATAATAGGTGACAAGGGCCGCAGCTCGCTCGAGGTTCTGCCTAACTCGCGCTCACTATTGATGGTCAAGGCGGTTGGGGCCGTCGATTCGTTCGAGACAACGCTTCCGTTGGAGGGGGATATCTGGAGCTGCTTCTTCTTCAGCTTTGATTTCTGGTCGCTGGGGCTGAGGCGGCCTGACTGCTTGCTGCTCCCTGAAGAGGAGAGTTGTTGTCGGTCGTCCTCCGACTCATCTTGTGGTCTTGGCTTCGCCGGTTCAGCGAGACCCCTCGGTGGAGGCTGGTCGAAGATCATGTATTCCTCCTCGATATACTTGGCCTCGTTCTTGCATCCTCTCCAGCAGTCGCGCCAGTCGCACACCAAGAACTTAAAGCAGAACGCGTCGATCTTCATACACGGCTGGAAGCAGATGCACAGATTCCTAAAGTCCATCTTGTTTTTGTCCGAGTGAGCTAAGAGAAGACTGAGGTGGCATGTGATGGCAAAAAGCAGATAATAGTTGAAGGGGGAGAGATTCGAGAGCTCTTCGATAAGTAGCTCAGGAACTTCCTCAGCACCTGCGCATTCTCTTGCGATTCGATCCTGTGCCGCTTTGGGGAACAGCTCGTCGGGAAGTTCTCGTAGCCAAGCCTTTAGCATCGAACCAATTATGTTGATGTCGTAAAGGTCGCGCTCGTTGAACAGGTTGACGTCGTATTCTGTTCCAAGTTAATCTGAGTTCCTTCGCTTATCAGGAAGACGGTATAGACTTACGTTCATCGAACTTGCGCTGCCATTTCTTGATCTGAGGCCCACTGCCTGGAACACGATAAAGACCCTCAACTTCGCATCCCTTGTAGTTTAGATAATCTATTGCTCGCCAAGGAAAGGCAGGCATCCAGAACTCCGTCTTGTCCCTTGAATCCTCGAGGCGCTTTGATATTCTCGTCAATCGTGTTTGTTCAACTAGTGGCAAGTTGATAACTTTTATTTGATAGTGTTCATCGTCAAGAGCATCCTTATCCTCTCGACCTCCACGCCCACTCTTGTTGAAAAAACGGTCACTCAGCATGCCAGCGGCACGGGTACCAGAGCTCTTGAGGCCATTGAAAAAAGAGCCTCCGTTCTCGTTCAGAGAGGACGGTTGGGTCTTTGATTCCTTGTCGCGTTGTGCCCTTCTGGTAGAAGACGAATCTCTTGGCGCGCGGTCCTCAGATCGATTTCGGACTGCAGAATTCATCATGTCCCTGATAGAACGATCACTACCTTGGTTCGCAGTCTTGTACGGCACAGAATTGAGGTGCAGTTCAGGTTCGTGACCCTGACGAGGAGAAGAGGCCGGGTTCAGCTCGGGGCTGGCGTCTTCTTTGTCGCGATTGGATCGGCTGCGGTTCAGCAGACCAAAAGGCTTCGACCTGCCTTTCTTTGTTGAAGACTGAGGTGAAGCAGTATCGTAGTCGCCAGCGGATGATAAAGACAAGTCGCTTCGAAGAGGATCGGCGGAAACGGGTTTGTGTAGAGTATGTTCGGTGTATGAGGCACTTGGGCTTGGATCCTGTTTGTCTGCATCATGTCAGCGGTTGGTCATGGACCTAGGCCTGCGCGCGATGGCTAAAGTATAATGGAACATCCCAACTAAGCTTGGCTCAATGTTTACATACCTCCGTGTCTTGGTCGGTTGGATCCGTCACTGCCCCTCGACAATACCTGAGCTCTCGTCTCGGTTTGTTTTCGGTGGTGGGCATGCGGTTGAGGCTGGTTCGAAGACTTGGGTTGTTTATTAAAATGGAAGAACCCGTTTTTGGCACCTTTTTTTATATCGTCTGATATTGGCTGTACTGCAGTTGTTACTGATAGATTAGGCTGGTGTTCTTCAAGAGTAGACGAGATAGAAGGATAGGTCGAGGGATCCTCGCGTGTCTGCCGTAAAGGCTGCCTTGATACAGATTCTCCCCTACTCCATTCGGTAGATGTTGTGGCAGTTGAGGGTCGTTGTATAGGTATTGGAACCGGTGCTGATGGTTGTGGTGGCGGCGTTGATGATGATGGCTTCCCCTCTACAGTTGCGTCTGCTAATGCAGATGTCGTGTGTGACACTTTCCTGTGCTTTCCACCTTGGTTTCTCAAGGGTGAAAACCGACTGTGGAAAGGAGAGGAGCGGGGAGACCGGGGCGATTTGAACTCGACCGGCGACACACCTGGAGAAACGGTTTCAGTAGTCGGCGAATCGTCTCTACTGCGTAAAACAGCGCCAGATTCAGACTGGGCTTGTGCTTGGGCTTGGGCCTGAGGCGAATTCTGAGACGAAAGCTCCAGCGGCTGCGGTGCCGCCTTACGACCCATTCTGAATCCTGTCTGCTCACGGCGCAGTCTCACAATCGCTGTCGCGGACGTAGACACCAACGCGGGCCCTGCTTCGCAAACTCCCACTCCCACGGTGGGCGAAACGGGAGGGGGTTCAAACAGCGGGCCAGGGGGGGAGATCGGTCTGTTGTGCCTCTATTCCTCAATCCGATCTTGCTGCGGGTCACAGTCGGATAATTGAGCAAGACCAGCCTGTGAAGGCAAGACCTCGAGCCGGAGAAACAGATATGCTCACAGGGCAATATGGAACGGGGGTTTGACGATTGGTGGCCGATGAGGAAGATGTGGGCGCGTCAACGATTCTAGTGGTGGTGGGAGTACTGGATGGCACTGTTGTGTAGGTAGCTAGGTCAGGGGCGCTCCAATGTCGCTGGAAAGCATGGGGGCAGAAGCCAAGCTGTCGGGAGTAACAGAGGACGAGATAGAAATATAATATAAGGGCAAAAAAAGGAAAGGGAAAGGGAGAAGAAGCAGGTCGGTCTGTATTTTGAAGATGGGAAGAAGAGGGAAAGTCTCGTAGTCTTGAAATGAATGCCCTCTCGCCTCTGCCGGCGGTGTTGTTTGTGTTGTGTCGTGTTATGCTATGCAGCTGGGTGCATCGTTGACTGTTATTAGATACCTAGGTAGGTAGGTACTTGGTAATGTCGTATTGCGTTGGGTTTTTGTCAGGCTTCAGTAATGGGACATTCAATATTATATCCGTAGTAATATGAATCCAATATTATTCGATCGTGGTAGGGCTAATTCTAGAGCCCGGCATTGGTGTGTCAAAAATGTCCGATTCCCAGCCGTCAGTAGGTTGCTTTGGAGAAGAGTGCCGCTGGATACACAACATTCGGTAGCCCCGAGTAACCAAGTAGTTCCAATCAACGAGGTAACAGCCTGCATATAAAGCTTACTGTTGACCGCTTCACGGATCGGTTGCGTATGGTCGAGTAAAGGTCAGGTATCAGAGCAGCCTGAGCAGGTAGTGCATCCTTGAAGTGTGCGTGCAGTCAGTCAGTCAGTCAGTGCAGCTGATGATGACCAAGGGTTGGCAGATCCCAAAAGAAGCAAGGGACAGAATGTGGAACGTTGTACGGAGAAGACCAGGAACAAGGGACGAAGAAACACCAAGTCTTGGCTTTTGACGGCCTGCTTAGTTACAGTATTACTTGCAGGGTGGCCTTGAGTGGGCAAGAAAACTTCTGACTTCTATGCTAATAAATGACAAAAAGATTTGATATAGATTTAGGTAAACCTGAAGATTATTATACCGATCTTTGTTTGGCACACTTACCTATTTACGGATACTGTCAGGAGTTTTCTTGCTCACTAAAAGGAATAGATCGGCTTATACGGAGTATTGGCACTTGCTTTACTTTTTGCCAGGGGTTCAATCACGAGGGGCTGCTGTGAGCAAATGGGTGACATCCAACATCCCAAACCAATCCATCTCACCCCAATAAGAGACACCTGGAAAGGCACAGGCACAGGCACAGGCACCTCATGTACAGACAGTCAGTCAGGTACTGGGTACCAACATGAGCTTGCTCAGATAATGTGGTTTCGGGTTCCAGCTTGCGGATAATAGGTAATTATTCATTCTCGCCAAACGGTATATAAATACCATTAGCAACCTCTGCAGATATCACATCTCGCAGATACAGCCCAGTACCGGTAATGAATATTCAAATCGAGCGTTGCGCGTCAAGTGTGTACGTGTGCTGCATGTAATGGATTAGTACGTGTGAAGCTGAAACGACCTACAAATTTTAGACTCTGTAACCGATGCCCGATACCGACAGGTACTGGAAATTCGGCAACCTAAAACAGCCCGTTTCCACAGATAATAGGTATAGACACAAACTTAGGTACGTAGATAAGGTACGCTAGCACTTATATCCATACTCCGAACAACAACAACCCGTGGACAGCACAGTCTACATCAATCAAATTCACTGGATCCAACGCTGAGGCCCTTCTACCCCGCTATATCTGTTGGACACCTCCTCGGCCCAGGGGGGTTGATTCTTCTTTCACATTTCCATTTTCATCCCACCATGAGGTCAGACCTCATAGTGGCTCCAGCTAGTCCTGATCTCAGAGTCATGAGCTGGCCACTCTCAGGCAGAGAAACACAGCAAAAGTCCCATAGTGACCTGGAAGTGCCTGGCAGCCAAGGCGCCAGGCATCGGAAGTCTAGATGCGCCCAAAAGCCATGGAGCAACCAGGAACGAAAGAGTTCTGTTCAGGGCTGCAACCATGATATGAAACTAGATGGCTGTAATACGTACTGCATTTTCTGACAACAGATAAGCCGAGTCTCTGGGGACGATTTGGCTACTAACTTTAAAGGCAGCCTCTTCATTTATATTCACTACTGCGATTCACATGCAGCAACTAATATCCATGTCACTCGCAACAACAAACTTTGCGATACGTACATACACTAGAGGCCCTTGACGCCAATATCGCTCCGTCAAAGTCAACTGCCTTTCTTGGAATTTCTCTGGAATCGTAACCTGGCCACTGGCTCCATCATTCCGGGATCATAGGCAGTTCCTGGATGGCCGGCAGCAGTGGCGCTCTTAGCCTTGGTACAGAGTGGAGGGCTCGGGCTTTTTCCAAATTCCAAGTACCGGTACTAGGCTTGTGTTCCGCCGTCTCTGCTCAAAAGTTGAGTTTCAGTCGAGTCCCGTTCTTTGAATGGTGCATTATCGATATTGGAGGGCTAGGAGGGCTAGGAGGGTAACAGACGGGATGCTGTTTTCGAAGGCGCAACGCCCTTCGCGAGATAGCGCCACCTTATTTTGACACCTCTGCCTTGAAAGTCGATATCATTCGGGTTACATGGGGTGCGGCATATGCCAGCCGCTTACCTGTCGAAAGTACAGATGGATCGGTTATAGAGTTGACGAGATGAGGCCTCATGGATCCCTCTCGTGAGTTTGGTGAAATTGCATATTTCCAGCGTCGTATCCGTATATCCTCTGACATGAATTTAAAGACAAGTGCCAAACACCCACTCAGAAGATTTGACGTCGTCAGCTTCAGCCGCCACGTTGCCAAATGTGGATTGTATCTTGCTTGGTTTGACAGATAACCCCATGTCATGATCTCCCTGTCAGTTAGAACCTGGCTACCCATTGCCAAGAGTGTCGACCTACATGAAACGTAGTGCAGAGGATCAAATTCGTTTCATGCGTTGCCTATGTTATTCTATTCATCATCTCAGCCTTACAATGATGCCCTGGTTAAATCAACATTCTTGAATTGTATCATATAAACAAGTAATATCTTATCATGCTTTCTCACAATATTTGATAAGCTCAAGTGTCTGAAGCCATGTTGCTGTCTTGAAACGTGCGATCTTGGGCGGGACAGATGATGGTCAGGCCGAACCACATGTTGAAAAGCTTGGTGTATACGCTGACCACAAGATTCAACGATTGGATAACCCAACCAAGTGATGCCATGTTCCACGGTTATTTTGCACCGTTTGTCAATTATCTCATCATTGCACTTGATCAGCTAGCAAATCACACTTTTCTTCTTCTTCTAGAGCGTAGCCACTACCTAGGTATGTCTTCATTTCAATTCTGGACTCCGACCAAACAGCTGGCTGTTGGCCCGATCGACATCTACCTAGCATGAGTTAACAAATTCCGCAATCTCTTTGTTGAATCTCTCTGGCTCCTCGTAAAATAGCCAATGTCCAGAATCAAACACCGATGACCTTGCTAGTCCTGGCCTTGACTTCTCTACGCGTCTCACGCTCTCGAGCATTCCTTCGAGTGGAAAGCAGCTTGATCGTCGACCGGCCATAACCAGCACCGGAACCGTGATTGTTTCAATGGCTTCTCGGTGGTCGTAGCGAGTATGGTCTGCCAGTAGTCGTGCTAGCCATGTTTGATCGCATTTCGCACTGATGTTCGTAAAGAAGGCTTCATCCTTGGCTTGTTGCTCAGCCGAAATCCCCTCTTCCTCCTTCGGGGCATATCGATATCCTAAGCAGCCTATTGCAAGGTCGATATGCGCCTTCTGAGAGTTATTGATCCAGTTGTATTGTGCGGCAAGCATGGTCTTCTCGTCGTAACATCCGGTATGCGCCTTGCTTTCGTCCCATCCATCAAACACTGAACGATCTTGCAGAGGCGCCTGATCAACAAATACAAACCCCGCAAAGTCATTGCAACCAAAGAGTTCCACGTAAGTCCAGAGTACAGCGGCGCCAATCGAACACCCAACAGGCACAATACTGACAGATGCTGTCTTGTGAATATGAGCAACAAGGCCTGAAAGATCAGCGGCCAACCGCGCGACATGATAACCACCACGAGTTTGGCTGGAGTCCCCATGTCCTCGCATGTCTGGGGCAACAACCCAGAGTGATTTGCTCAAGGACGTAAAGTTGCGGATGAAGTAATCGCTAGAGCCACTGAAGCCGTGCATGAGCAGGACACATTTCTCAGGTGCAACTCCTGCAACTTCCTTCAGTGGTAAGGAAGACTGAAAGGCGATTTTGCATCCATCGTTGGCGGTGAAATGTTCTTTGTGCATGATTTTGGGCGATACGATGGTCGCCTCTGGGTACTAAGGTTGTCTATCTGGTGACTTGCAGTTGATGATGAGAGAGGGTTATATCCATAGGTTAGTACCTAGGATGCTTTTGTGGAGTTTTCCACGCTTTCCTGAATTAAAGACAGTCCTAGCTGGGCCAACATTGGATCTCTAAATATGTAAGTCGCATAACCTGTCATCCCACCATATATCAAATCAGAGATATGATATAGGTAAGCACTTAAGAAGATATCACCGAATTCCAAATAGAAGATGACCCATCCATATTCATTTGACTAAATGTGTTTATCTTGGCGCTTTTAGAACGCACTCATGCACTCAACAGCTTGCAAGGCTTGATACCGTGCATTTGTCTCTTGGAAAGACCTTCAGGTACAATTAACTGTTCTCTACCTTATTTGCAAATAATTCTTTAAATATGGCCACACCATTATTAGAACAAGATATTTGTCAGATTATCTACTACTCTGTAGAGACCTAGATAATGCTAGGTGCCCTGGTCAAGGGTAGGTAGGTACATGAGGTCCGTAAAGTTCCAGGTGGCCAGGCAACGCTTACGTAACAGCGCACATAGAAAATTCTCTCCGTGTCAACCTCAGCGAATTCGTTCAACTTACTCCGTACTTCATCCTTTGACAATATGTCCCAAGACTCGACAGGCCAAAAAGGTACAGAACTCTCTGTCGATGCTCACGTGAAGTATGTCCAGAGCCTGGATACAAGAAAGGATGAGCTCGACTACTGGCTTACCGAGCATCTGCGACTCAATGGCTTGTATTGGGGATTAAACGCACTCTTCCTCCTGGGACGGCCAGAGGCTCTCCCTCGACAGGATGTCATCGATTTCACTCTCTCCTGCCAGCATGAAAATGGCGGGTTCGGTGCAGCACCTGGCCATGATGCTCACATGCTGTCCACAGTAAGTGCTGTGCAGATTCTCGCCATGACGGATGCTCTCGACCAGCTGGAAACAAAAGGCAAAGGCAAGAACCAGGTTGGCAAGTGTAGGTATTTTGCAAGGTCCACAGTGCCTTCTATGCACACACTGACCACCAACAGTCATCGCGGGACTGCAGAATCAAGAGAACGGCACATTTGCCGGGGATGAATGGGGCGAGGAGGATACCCGGTTCTTGTACGGTGCATTCAATGCCCTGTCCTTACTCGGTCTTATGTCCCTTATCAACGTCGACAAGGCTGTTACACACATTATCGCTTGTGCCAACTTTGACGGTGGCTATGGAACAGGGCCTGGTGCGGAGTCGCATTCGGGTCAGATCTTTACTTGCGTTGCCGCCCTCGCAATAGTTGGCCGGCTTGATCTCGTGGACAAAGAGAAGCTCGGCAGATGGTTGAGCGAGAGACAAGTTCCCTGTGGTGGCCTTAACGGTCGACCCGAAAAAGACGAGGATGTATGCTACAGCTGGTGGGTATTGAGCAGTCTCGCCATGATTGAGCGCACGCATTGGATCGACCGCGATGCACTTATCGCTTTCATTCTCAAATGTCAAGATACCGAAACTGGTGGTATCTCTGATCGACCTGGTAATATGGTCGATGTTTGGCATACCCAGTTCGGCTTATGTGGTCTTAGTCTTCTGGGCTATCCAGGTCTCGAGGCAGTCGATCCAGTATATTGCATGCCCAAGGCGATAACAAAGACACTTCTCGGCTGATCGTCTATACGTCTATGAGCCCGTCTTTCCCTTATACATCTTACCCAATGGTGCCAGCCACCACCCTCTGACCATTCATAGCACATGCTTACGACGTTGTTCAGTGATAGCATGTGAATATGGTTGAGGGAAGAGAAACTGTTGGTTTTTTCAGGGACATCGCTTGACTCCGTGGTGTTCGTCCCGTGAAGTCCTTCAAACATGTATTGGTACTGAGCTTGTCAAGACATGTGCTCATATCACAGAATCAGGATAGATATGGATGGCCTCATATCTCTGAACCTGGTCATGTTGGACCAACACTGTATTGCCCTTACTTTAATTAATCCACCAAAGTACTAATCTTTCAATGTCAATACAAAATTTCCTGCCACTGACGACACAATCGCCTCGCCTAACTCACCCTCGGGCTCTCCTCGTGCTGCAAATGTTTGCTCCTTGGTCACGACTATCACACGTATCCTAGGTTCCATTTTTATCAATTACCTACTTCCCTGGCATTTCTCAATACTACCTACTAAGTGTACGAAGAGCAGTGCTTGGCAGCCTCCTCCGGCATAAGATGCTACTGGCCTCCTGTTCCTTGCGCCGCACAGCTGAAATCCGTGCCTGCCCTTCATGCCTCAGAATGTTTCCTGAGGCTCACAGGGCTTTCGGGGCACCTACCGACACGCTCCTCCCCCCCTGAAAGTCAGACCTGGCTAGCCCCTCTTCAAGTACCCCCCATCTCCTTCCCCAGAATTCTGGTCCTCTACTAGCTTACCTGGTACCTCAAGGTTGAGGTGGTTACCTTACGACTTGGGATGTATCAAAATCATATCAATCACCTGCATCTCCTCTTCCTTTGATATTCCATTGTCTTCAACTAAGGTATACCAACCTGCCCACCTGAGTGCCTAGTAGGTACCTTACCTACCAAGGTCGATCTGGTAGATACCTTTCGTCTCTGAGTACACTTCCGAAGAGTCTTTCAATTCTTACTACTCGACTCCGACTGTTCTGGTATTTTCGCATATCTGGCATCGTTGTTTGAGGAACCTTGTTCTTCACAATATTGTCCCGAGAGCTCTTGCTGCCAGCAGGACAATCCCTCCCAAGATACGGTGAGTTTCAAATGCTTCTTTTCTCCCTTTGTACATACCTACTTAGGTACAGCTTGAATAACAAAGGAGCTGGGAAGACGAGAGCCCTAGATGGTGGCTTTCCTTGACTGCGAACAAGAAGATCTCGGCCCTGGAATCAGGAATGACCGTGCTGATTACTTCTACTACAGTATTAAGGCTACTTACCTACTTAAGGTACCTAGAGAAACCCGGTTCTTTCTCAAGCGCCATGTCCTTTTGACTACCTTAGTCCGAAGCAATACCAAGCAGGAAGCGGACTTTGATCTAGGTAGACACAAGAAGGGGCAAGGTCTAAGAGGTATGGGAAGCTTCTGCACCCTTTCCGCAGACTACCGCTCTTGACAGTATCGAGATATTTATCTTTCGCGCGAGTTCTCCTAGAATCGTTACTGTCCAGGTATGCCATTCGAGGCAAACAGGGCAGGTGACTTCTGATCTCGTGGTAGACAGCACTTTCCAAGTTCGAAGACGTTGCAACTTCCTCTTAACCTGCGTACCGGAAAGTCTCCAAGTCAAGCCTTCCTTCCCTTCCACTCTGCCATCCGCCGGCTGTTATCCATGAGAAGCAACAAGGAGTCGATCCTGCATCATCAGTTCAAAAGTTCAGCCTCTACTGCTGTAAGCCGCAATCATGGCTCGAAGCAGGAAGTCCACAAAGCCACCACTGGTAAGCAACTTCCCTTCGTATTCTCATTAGCTACTTGTCTTCCCTTCTTCTCGATCATAGACTTTGCCTTATCTTCACTTGCACAAGACCTGCTCTTTTCGACCCGAAACTTGATTCCATCTCCATTTCGACCCATTGCACTCACTATTGCCCTCATTTTGACCTGTCTGTCAGCCCTTTCCCATTCGTTCTCAGATAAGGAGGATAACGACCCACAAGCCGTTTTACACGCCATTGATAGCTCCCTTGGTACCGTAGCCCAAACAATTTGCTGAAAACCTGCCCTGGTTGGTTACTGACCATTACATTGTGGTTTAGGTCATGGCTACTACAGCGATACCAGGAGACAATGCAGCCAGCTCTATCAGTCGACATATCCCACTCTTTTGTTCCGTGTGCCCTGAGACTCCTCGTTTTTCGGACGTCTCTCATCTTCTTACTCATATCGCTTCGAAAGGACACCTTCATCACGAAACCCAAACGAAGCTCAAGGCTCACCAAGATATCACCGCCGCGGTCAAACTTCAACGTTACGAGGAGTAGTACTCCCAAAATGGCATCGAGGCACTGTTGGTTGATAGAATGAGAGCAAAGCAGTTGAAGGAAGAGGCTCGTAGCCGGCGCAATCAAGGAACCAATTTTGCCTCTGCCAAGGTAGTGATATCCTCCCCTGGTGGTTGTTCGTTTTTCTAACAGCCGAAAGCAAAACAAGCGGAAGATTAAACAGGAGACATCAATGAGCCCTGCGATTAAGCTCGAAGGAGACGAAATTCTCAACGAATTCCCAATCTTCCCGGGCTTCTTTGACCATGAACCAGATCAAGATGTTCAAGAAGAATTCTCTCTGGGAGCCGACTCAATGTCGCTGAAGGGCCAAGTGTGGCCAGGAATGGGGAAAATGGATCTTGCCGACGACGAGATGAGGCGGACTCGGAACCAAAAGAAGCCCAAGTCCGTGATTGAAAGAATGAAAAGGGCCTCGGAGCGTATCGAACCTACCCAAGTCATCATGACTTCTGAACTAGAAGTTGAAAGGACGAAGGACGTGTATGATGATGCTTCCTCTCCTGCTCCTGGCCAGGAAGAATCAGTATGTACCACGAGAGAAAGTTCCTTCCAAATGCTAACATTGTCAGACACCACCACGAAAAGCTCCAAAAACGAAGCGCAAAAAGGCCACACCTCTTGCTGAAATCTCGGCCAACGCTCCCAAGCAACGCCGTAGTACTGCTCGTGGCCCAAAACCTGGCACGGGAAAGAAGGCAAACCCTACAAAGAAACAAACCCGAGAGAAAGAGCTCAAGACATATCCCCCACCAGAAAAATCGCAAGATATCCACGATGTTTTCCGTGATGAAAAGGACCGGCCAGGTGGGTATTGTGCGAACTGAAAAAGGGGGAAATCGCTAATACGAAATGAAAGCTTCCATCAGTGAACCTCCAATTCCTGCTACTCGGAATGATAGAAGGTGAGGTTTTGTGCCACTTCTGTACGAAAAACTGACACCGAAACTAGATTCGACCTTCGCACGAAGCACGGGGCTCGAAGCATTGACAACTTTCTTCATTCAAATCTTGTTTCTCCCACGCCACATCCAAGAGATCTAGCACCACGACAACTTTCAGGCCGAGAAACATCTACGGCACTTCGACCTGAGTCGTTCCCTCCGGGTAAGTTTGAGGAGCATCTGAGCCATCATTATTCACAACTGGATTCTGGACTTGGACTTACACACAAACAGGCACATTTGGTCACGTAGAAGCTTCGTATGCTTTGAAAGACGCTACCATCTATAATGCTTCGTCACGCCTTCCATTCGTCCCTCCAAATTTTGACCAGTATCGAGGACTTGGCCCAGATCAGTTTCGATTGGCCGCAGACTATGGATTCCAGCTGAAACATGAAGACTACACGGGATCAATCACGGGAGATGTAACACAAGGGACAAACAACAGTCCTTTCATGGGAGTGCCCGGAACTAACCCTCTTTTTTCTCATGAAAGGCCATTCTTGAATCCTTACAGCCAAGCTACACCGAATGCAACATTCTCCCCATTGTCGTTTGCTTCTATCAACCGACAGCAAGACCACTTACACAATGACGGAGGAATGAAAACACCACTGGCACAAATTTGTGAGCCAAATGAGAACAACGATGGCCTTGGAGAGGAGCAAGAGCTAAGCATGAATGCACCCTGGAACCTGAATGGTACAGAAAATGACCTGGACTTCTCCCACGGCCTTGCAGTGGACGACTCACAAATGTGACTGACAAGATGAGCACCGAGGAAGGCAAGATATGTGCCTTGTCGGCCTACAGCCACAAACGAGAATCAAAAGGTCTACATACATCAATGGAGTTCGTCAGTCTTCCAGATCATGACGAGTCACGATAGATCATGGCTCTGAACCATCATGACAGCCACAGAGGTAGGCAGTTGGCTAACAGCTATCATCCTTCTGACTAAAAGAAAGTTCTAACCCTTCTAGATGATATAAAAATGCTGTACATATTACATACGACTCCTTACGCCTATTTTTAGCGACTCGCGTTTTTGACATTCTATTTCTATTTTTGAACTTTCAACAAAACGGTACTGGGCGGGGACACAATTAGGAGTTTCGATTAACTTGGGACAATGTTTAGCGGCGCTCAGACGATCAGTATGGGGGATCTGGGGCCTTAAGGAGGCATATAAAATGGTGTCATGAGAAAAGAATAACTAGGGGGACTTTGGAGTCCGGGGGAGACGGACATATCATTTGACATTGGAGTTACGGGGTTTCAAGACACAAGACATTGTAAGCATCTTATGGGAAATCAGTCATTCTGACATTGGGTTTATATTTCTTCTATCAAGACCCCCAAATAGTACGTAGTAAAGTTGTGATGTTATCTACAATTGTTCAATGCCAGATACCAGCTGGTCAAGTTGATCCGGCCCGTTATGTATCACGTCCGACAAGGCACGGCAAATACCCCTGAAGCGACGGATCTTCATTTCTTGCTCCATTTGCCCGGACTTCAGGGCAGCAACATCAATGACTTTCTTGGGAATACGAGCGAGCCTCGCAACGTTCAGGCCATAAGATCGATGAGCAACACCTTCGCCGACTTCGTACAAGAACGTGACTTGTTCCTCACCATCCTCCCCTTTCTCTGCCTTGAATTTCATGTGAACGTTTTTGACACCATCTAGACCTTCAG